GCGCTGCCAATCTCTCTGTTGGGCTAATTACCAAGGCATGGGAAAAGATGTAAGCTGCCCACTGCAGCCCTGTTCTCTGTCTAACCACAGAACGAAACCAGCACCCTAAATCCAGACAGTGTCTACATGCGCTCCAGAAGCTTATCCCCACTATGCAGCTCACCATTTCAACACTGCATTGTTGCCACTGGCACATTTTAATCAACGTGAACAATAATGAGAAGAATGAAGTTTTTGACATTCCCTAAAGTTTAGAATAGCAGCAATATTTAGCGTGAATTTCTCTGCTCATCAAACCAGCTACTCAAAACAATGATAGAAATGTGAGAGAAAAAAGAAAAAGAAGGCAAAAGAAGGAGGGAATTCCATAGCTTTGCACTATTGCCTGACTACTGCGAGCTGTGACTTTGCTCTATACCTGACATGGTTGGGGGTCTCTTTCTCTCTTAATTTTTTTTTTCTTTGGTTAAATAAAAACATAGGTTTATCTTCCCTTCAAGTTCACTAATGGAATTGCTTTCAAGCCAAATTGTGAGACATAATCCCTTGAAAGTATAAAAAAGAAAGAACGGCAGAGATAGAAGTGTCCCTTTCCTGGAATGTTTTCTGTATTACGACAAATTTACTAGAGAAAGAGAGAGAGAGAAACAAGACAATTCACTGGGCACAAGCAGGGGCAGCTCTGCTGAGGGGAACGGAATTGCATTTGCTTTCTGAGACAGCTGGATTTGACCCACACTCCAGTGAGAAATACTTCCATTCAGTTCTCCCATTCTACTTATTTTTTTCCACTCCCTTCTACATTCTGGTTTCACAGCAGTAGTTTGAACATCCACCCCTAAGGAGTGGTGATGTCCATACATCTTTCTGCTTCCCACATGAGAGGAATGCGAGAGAAGATGATGAGGAAAGGGACCACTTCTTCACTGAGCCAGCCAAAAGCCATCCAGAAAACTTCCAGCACCTGAACATTCACCTCTTCTTTCAGGTTTCCATGCAGGTTACTCCACGCACAGGAAGAACACAAACCCAGCCCAAACACGCCTATCCCGTATCTTATCCAAAAGACTTGGCAAACATCAAGCTGGCAGGTATACAGGTGGCACCAAAACTACTTCTGCCAATATGGTCCAGTTCCCCCTGTGGCTAACAGGATCGCACTTTTCCATACTATGTCTTCGTGCAGGTGAGGGAGGAGGCGGTGTTCACGTCCCCCATGCCCACCAGAAAACACTGCTCTCAGTATTGCAGCACCAAAGCAGCTCAGTGGCTGCCTTGGCCACCTCTTGCAGCTGCAGCACCCCATTGCCACAGCCACCTGCCTTGCCCAGAGCTACCGCTGGCCCATGAGTGACTCCAGCACAGACAACACCAGCAGCTGCCTCCTCTGAGCATCCTTTCACAGTGCCAGCGGCTGCCCTTCTCGCCGCTCCACTGGCAAACCTGCCCCAAAATCAGAATCGAGCCTTAGTGGAAGAGCAGGTCAGAGGGATACATGGAGAAAACGCAGCAAATTCAACTCAAATATTACTGTAATTGAGATTACAACCTTCCATAGTTTGATGGTCCTAAGACAGAGAAGCATACAAACAAGTAGTTAACTTGCAGGGTTTAAATCTATTCTTCTTTACCAAACTACTGAAGTGCATGATTAACACTAAGTCACTTCTGAAGTCCTGTCGTTTTTTTAGGGAGTTTAAATTTAGTCATTGCTCCCCTCATTCTAACAGAGCAGATGATAAAAATGAAAACATAAATACCTAAATTCTAGAAACTAGCATAATAAAATTCCACAACAAATAGTAACCAAGAAAGGGAGAATCTACATCAAGGACAAAAAGATGCAAGCCGAGAAACCCAGCCCTATGGACACACT